AGAAGGAGAGAAGAAGAAAGGAAGGAAGGAAAGAAGGAAGGAAGGAAAGAAGGAAGGAAGGAATCAATATTATTCCTCAAATGTCAACCAGCACCTGTTCCATACCCAGGTTGCTTTTCCCTCTCAGTTCAACTTTACCTTCAAGTTTGTTGGCTGGGTAGTTTTGGGTTGAGTGCCAGCCTTCAAGGTATTTCCATTTTGCCATTCTATGTTTATAAGGGTTTTTAATATATACCCTGGGCAACACTGCACACTGGGATTTTCTTTCACTAGCTGCTTATAATCAAAGAATGTAAACTAGGAAAGGTAGGAAGCTCTTTTCAGCAGACAGTACTTATGTGATTTATCTATTTAAGAAGCAGGACAAGTACATGGCATAAAGTCAAGGATGGGGTAAGAGGTAAATGAAATGAAAGCTTTGATATAGAAAAATTATCTGGGATTTCAAATAGATGGATATAAGAAGTAGTAAAATCAGGTATTGGAAAAGGAGGAAATAAAGAAATAAACAATAAGTGTCATCAGTCAGAAAACATTAAAGTAAAAATTAAGAAAACATGTATGAACGACTAAATTCATTTGTGGACTAAAGTAGAAAGTGTTAGATTTTCTGAGAAGTTTTTCTTCCTATAAGGAGGATTTCAAGCATATACTATTCCTGCTTATATGATGTCAAATTAGGTCATTTTAGTGAATCCACCACGAAACACTAGTTAGACATTGCATACATACCCTGGTTGTATGGTTCACAGCTTTATGCATTGTTGATTTGTTGCTATTGCTTTATTTTCTGCATACCAAAGTTGCTTTGGTAATACGCATCATCTCCAAGACAACCAAGTGAACCAACTCCAAGGAACTATTTGGAGTTAAAAATCTGGAGGAGTAAAGGCGTTCACCTGCCCATTCCATATAAGACAGAAATCAGGAGCTGAGGCTATGGGGTGCCTTTTAAACCAAACTAAACTTCTTCTATCCACCCTTGTGCACATTACATAACGCTCTGCCTCAGGTCTCTCCTGCTCAAAATGGGGATGATAATGTTTCCTTCCCTAGTGTTATTTTAAGGAGGAAGTCAGGTAACATACGTCAACTTCATAGGACAAGGCTGCAGCGCGGAAGTGTGTGCAGGGTGACCACGTGCGTGCAGCATTGCAGCAGGGTTAGACCCCATCCGGAGGTGGAAAGGAAGCTTCAGCCAAACCAACCATAACGTGAGAGGAATCCAGACGTTTTGTGATCTAAAGCCCAGAACCCCAAACACAAAATTTCATCATAAAATATTGTAATTTAAGTCTCCTCAAACACTTCTAATTCCTTCATTTAATTGATGAAGTGGCCGAGGTTTAGAGAAGGCTGGTGGCTTTCCCGGGTGCAGCCATAGGGTTTCCAGATTTTGATGTGGGTTGTTTTACACCAAATGTACACAACCATGGTGATATGGTTTTGTACTAGGTTTTCCAGATTTTGATGTGGGTTGTTTTACACCAAATGTACACAACCATGGTGATATGGTTTGGCTGTGTCCCCACCCAAATCTCCTCTTGAATTGTAGTTCCCATAATCCCTACATGTCATGGGATGGACCTGGTGGGAGGTAATTGAATCATGGGGGTGGTTACCCCATGCTCTTCTCATGTTAGTGAGTAAATTCTCATGATATCGGGTGGTTTTATTAGGGGCTTTTCCCCCTTTGCTCAGCACTTCTCCTTCCTGTGAAGAAGATGCCATTCTTCGGCTTTGCCTTCCGCCATGATTGTAAGTTTCCTGAGGCCTCCCCAGCCATGCATAACTGTGAGTCAACGAAACTTCCTTTCTTTATAAATTATCAGGTATTTCTTCACGGCAGTGCGAGAATGAACTAATACACGTGGCATGATTTTTCATGTCATAACTAGTAATAGTGTAGGGACAAATGACTTTTGCTTTCTTTTTAATAAAATTGTTGGTAATATGTACAGAAGTGGGAGGAGTAAATGCCTGTGTCTTCCTGATTGATTATAAAATTCTTTCCAACTAGCTCGTGCAAGTGGTCAACAACTGAGGCCAAAATGTATTGCTTTATAGAGATTTAGCAGACTTATATTAATGATCCAATTTCCTTGAATGGGGTGAACTTGTTAACTTGCATATTTAGAAAAACTATAATCAAATATTGAAAATACTGTCATAGGAAATAGAAATTAACCCACAGAACCTAGAACATGTTCTGAACATAGTAGATCCTTAACATATATCCATTACATTGAATTGAATTAGACGTAGTCTGTATCTGTCCAGAGGCTGAAAGTAAGAACAACAGGTGCCTATTATAAAACTGAATAATATTCAAACCCTTGACACAATCCAACAATGGAATGAGTTGCCTTGTTGAGTTGTAAGCTATCCATTCCTGGAAATATTCAAGAAGCAATAAAAAGGCTTCTTTTTAGGGGTAGGTGGCATGGGGCAGAAATGCTTCTGTACTGCACTCTGGGGTTTAGTATAATGGACATAATCCTAGCTTTCTTTAATGGTAGTGGATCTCGAAATTCTCAGAGTTACACATCAGAAACAATAATAGTCACTATATTAAATTGCTCATACTGAGATTTCATTTTTAAAGTAAATATATTATAATACTTTTCATATCATGTGTCAGAGACTCAATATAAGCGTGGATTCTGCAACTAAAAGGTGGACTTCTAAAAAGCTGGGTCATGTTCTATCATTTGCATATCACCACTGCCTCACACAGTGTATTGCACATAGTAGGTACTTCATACAATGATTTTATATACGAACAAAAGAACAAAAAAGTGTCAGATTTTTAGCTGAGTTTATGAGAATTTAGAAGATATTTTGAAATACATATTTAGCCTTTACAAAACTAAATTTGTGCTATGAGATTAGTTTTTTCTTAAGGTTGAATTTATGACACTTCTATGTGTAATGGCAGACCATTCAAACATTGGATGGTTAGCTGTGTTTTCAATAGCAGAGGACATGCAGTGATATGACCACACATAAAATGCAGCAGGATTGTAAAGATATTGCCCTTCTCAAAAGTATCAAAATGTACATAGTCTTGAATCAAGAAATTCTACTGTAAATTTATCTTAAGAAAATAATTAACAGTGTGAAAGGTTTTAGGTGAAGAATGGTTATTAAAACCGTGTTTATAAGGTAAAAGTTTAAAAATCCAACTTATGAAATTACAATACAGAATTGATGAAGTATATTTCAGTATATCCATAATATTGTAGAATTGTGTATATCCATATAATCCATTATTCCATAATCCATTATTATGTATATCCATAATAATAGTAGAATGCTAGACAAGGTAACAGAACAAAATAAGGTAACAGAAAAGTAGTTCTTCAGGCTATGTGCAGTGGTTCACACCTGTAATCCCAGCATTTTGGGAAACCAAGGCGGGTGGATCACTTGAGGTCATAAGTTCGAGACCAGAATAGAAAAATAGAAAAATTAGCCAGGTGTGGTGGCATGTGCCAGTTACCCTAGCTACTTGGGAGGCTGAGGCAGGAGAATACCTTGAACCTGGAAGGCAGAGGTTGTGGTGAACTGATTGTGCCACTGCACTCCAGCCTGGGTGACAGAGCCAGACTCCACCCCCCTCCCCCCAAAAAAGTAGTTTTTCTTACAAAAAGATACATGTGATGCATAAAGGGAAAAAGGAGTAAAGAACAAATGGTAGTTTGACTCACATTAATTTAAAATCTTATTGAAGACTGTCAAAGAAATCAGTCTTGAATTTTAAATCAACATACTAATGGTGGTTGTCACTGAATTTTTGAATTTCCAGTGCTTTAAAAAATTATATTATCTATTATTCTAATATTCCAATTTTTCTACAATGGACATACGCTAATTATGTAAAGAAAATAGAAGTTTAAAAACTTGGTCTCTCTGGCAGTTTGATGTTAATGCAAAGAATGACATTGAGAGGATAGGTTGCTAAAGATACTGATACCAAAAGTAAGAGAGTACAGAGATGATGCCTTGAAAAGGATAATTTTTGAACCATTAAAAATTAGTTGTGTAGCAAATAGAGAACATTGGGTCCAACAGATTGGTTTATTTCTCAGTCTTGCTGGAAATTAAATTTGTAGCATTTCTCAATTCCACCCACTCTTAATTGGAAGAGAAAGCGAAGGTCACAGAAGCTGAGAGTCTCCCTCAACGTCCCCCTCAACGTCCCCCTCAACGTCCCCAGCAGTCAGGGCTGCCCAGACCTCGAACCTACACGTGGTCAGTCTCAACGTCCCCAGCAGTCAGGGCTGCCCAGACCTCGAACCTACACGTGGTCAGTCAATGCCACTCTTTCATGCAGCTGAAAATTTACACAATTACGTCCAAGATAGATTTCAAATGATTCCCAAAGATGTGTGTCCATGGAAAAAGGAAACTACATCCTCAAAATGGGGCTTTGATTGGAGGTAAGCTCTGAAGTCCGTGCACCCCGGCTACCCGTCCGACCTCCCTCTGCCTAGGTTTCCTCATGTCTAAAAGGGATGGTGGCAACTTTCTTACAGGGTACTCGAGGGCTTAAAGAGAGCCAGCCGTGTCTACAATGTGGCCTCACTCAGGCTCAAGTGAGAGAGTAGGAGTGGAAGGACTTTGAAATTCAGAAAACACCACATAAGTCTAACAAGAGAAGAATTAGGAAATTAAACATAACTACATTTTTTGGATCAAGTTCTCTGCTTGGTTCAGTTCATTTATGAAATATTTAGATTATAGGCAATGCTCTCCTCAGTATAAGGATATAAGAAAAAGTAATAGTTGATGTATGAATTTAACAAGTATATGTAATTGACTAGACAAGGGCATACAACGGAAGCATGTAAGCATTAAAAACAGCAAGAAATAACTGGTACAAAAGAACCCAATTGCCCAAATTCTGTATCAGTCATTGCCTTGTGAGTTCTGTTTGTTTTCAGGTACCTCCTTTACATTCCTAATACAGTGGTAAAGTCCCATTGCAGTTCACATACCACACGCTGTGATTCCTCAAATGTCGACGTGGATTGGACAAAGGTCCAGGCAACAGCTGCACACACCTCGTCCTTGGCTACAGCCTCCGCATGACCCGCCCTGCATGTAAGAGAGGAGGAAGAGACAGTAAATGGAACTGAGACTCTTTTCTCTTGAGTTAATGGGAATGGATAGTTTCCCTACATCTTGGGCTAGTCTCATTAAAGTATTGAAGGCCTTACACACACACAGAGCCACACTTGCTAAAATTTATCTAAGGAATGGCCTTAGATAAATTAGATACACTCCTACTGTTTCTCCTCAAAGTTGTAATTTTTTTTTTTTTTTTTGCTTTGAGATGGAGTCTTGCTGTGTCACCAGGCTGGAGTCACGGCATCTTGGTTCACTGGAACTTCTGCCTCCTGGATTCAAGCGATTCTCCTGCCTCAGTCTCCCGAGTAGCTGGGACTATGGGCATGGGCCAGCACACCCTGCTAATTTTTTGTATTTTAGTGGAGATGGGGTTTCACCATGTGCCATGTTGGCCAGGGGCCAGGGTGGTCTTGATCTCCTGACCTCGTGACCTGCCCACCTCAGCCTCCCAAAGTACTAGGATTACAGACAACAGCCACCGCACCCGGCCAAATTTGTACTTCTTTTAAAATAAAGGTCTGTCCTTTAATAAAAATGAAAGAACAAGTTCAGTTGTGTGAAACTTGAGAGAGTCCCTAAGTCTCCATCCTCCCTACAAAGACTCCTAACCCAGGGAGATGAGCTGGAGGTGAGCTCCAGGGACAAAAGGCTGCTTGTCAGGCAGTGATTGAAGTTGTAAGAGAAGGTTCTGGACTTAGGGGTGCACCGCGAATTGCATTATGGCAACGTATGCAAGTTCAATAAGGACCTCAAACACAGCTTGCCTGTCTAAGGCCGTATCAGGACTAATGCCACAATGAAAACCAATAGGTGTTTAAAAAATAGAAGTAAAGAACCATGCGCAGACCAGGAAGTTTCCCGTATTTCCTATTTTCTAGGTTCACATGGAAAACTGGGGTGGTGGAAGAAAAGGACAATAATTCCTTTGGAACATTAATTCAACTTTTTCTACCCACTAACCATATTTGTTCCAATTTTAGCAGTTCTGTGGGAGGAAAAATGAAACATGAAATTCTTCTATGCTTTCAACTTTGCATATTTCTTTACCTCTACCTGGAATGCCCTCCCCTTTCTGGGTCTTCCCAATCCTGCCTAGAAGCCATACTTTCTATTCTGTGACACGTTCCTGATGAGAGAGAAGCAGGGATCTTCATGGTAAGAGCAGCACACATGTCAACCACTCCCATTACCGACTATCTAGCTGAGAAGCTACACGCTAGGTCAGACACTGCAGGTTCAGTATCTCTCTTAATCCTCAAAGTCGGCATTATTATTTCCCTGCACGTCGGTTCAAGATGCTGCCTAACTCCTGGAGACACAGAGCTGGAGCTCCCCTAGCAGGGGTTCAAAACCAGCTCTTCCCAACTCAAGGGTGCTTTCTGCTGCTCCAGGCTGACCTCCAGTTTCTCAGGCCCTCCAATACTCCAATTCTTTGTTCTTTCTTCATTCTCCTTCTTCTTCTTCTTCAAGATGGACTCTCACTCTGTCACCCAGGCTGGAGTGCAGTGGTGTGATCTCATCTCACTGCAACTTCTGCCTCCCAGATTCGAGTGATACTCCTGCCTCAGCCTCAAGAGTAGCTGGGACTACAGGCACCTGCCACCACATCCGGCTAATTTTTGTATTTTTAGTAGAGATGGGGTTTTACTATGTTGGTCAGGCTGGTCTCAAACTCCTGATCTCGTGATCTACCCACCTCGACCTCCCAAAGTGCTGGGATTACAGGTGTGGGATTACTGTGCCTGGCCTGTTCTTCATTCTTCTAAAAGGAAACATTTAGCATTTGTGACATGCTTTTGCTCACACACACAAACTTTCTCTTTTGTGGATAGAATTGATGACTCTCCCAGGACAATGTCATTCATTACTAAAATGTGGAGAGCATCTTAGATCATTTAAAATCAAACGAAATATATGTACGCTTTTAAAAGAAGTAATGCAGATATCAAGTTTCCAATGATTTCTAACAAATTGAAAAAAATAAAACATAGAACCCATTAGAAAACTTTTATGAGAATGTCTGGTCTTGGGATTTTACTTTACGACTGAAAATGACAATAAATTTAGTTTCTACTCGGGTTAAAGTGTGCTTGCCTATTGTGAGTCAAGAATAAATGGTCTAATGGGTTTAAGTGGCCCCACATAGTTTGCTACACTTGGGCACAGCAGGAGAGATCATCTGTGGCCAAGAGTGCCAGCAACACATCTACCTAAAGTGCCAGGCATTGGCTTTGGAGAACTATGCCAGGCCATGGCAGGCTTCCCTCCCCACCCACCTGCACTTGGAAGGCCACCTGCAGAAGGTGGGAAGGGTGCACAAAATCCCGAAGGCAGGGAGTGGAAGAGACTTAGTGTCAAAGCAATGTCGCTAAGTTCTATTTCCCATTCTGTTATCATCACCTAAGAGAGGGAGACACAGATACACACACACACACACACACACACACACACACACAGACACACACACATAGATTTCATCTAAAATTGCCATTGCTTTGAGGCTGAGGCGGGCGGATCACCTGAGGTCGGGAATTCAAGACCAGCCTGACCAACATGGAGAAACCCCGTCTCTGCTAAAAATGGAAAATTAGCCAGGCGTGGTGGTGATGCCTGTAATCCCAGATACTCTGGATGCTGAGGCAGGAGAATCACTTGAATCTGGGAGGCAGAGGTTGCAGTGAGCAGAGATTGTGCCTTTGCACTCCAACCTGGGCAACAAGAGCGAAACTCCATCTAAAAAAAAGAAGAAGAGAAACAAAAAAACATCCTTTTTAAAAATTCAGATAATCCTCAAGTAGCTTATAAGACTTTAGGTATTAAATTTTTAAGTGTTGAAAAAACTGACTGTACAAAGTTATTTAACATCAGGACCATCATCTTTTTAACATTTTGTTAAGCATCACCAGCATTCTGGTGCAAAATTCTGGACGTAAGACCTGTTCAAATACTCCAAAGTAAGTGATTTACAGAAAATTAACTAGCATGAGTCAGTCCCAGTCTTTTTTAAAAAATAAATCATTGAAAAAATATAAATACTGTGTTTACTGAAGATGGGCAAGTGGCAATTTCAGGAGCACAGAGTGACTTTCTCATTTGCAAAATGAGGATAATGGATTAGATCATCTTTAAGAGTCTCCTTTTGACCTCTGAAATCCAGCTTTATTTCTCAGTAAGAGCTGGGTCTTTTAAATTCATATGGATACTCTAGTTAATTAATAGTTATTTCACATAGTCTTTTAGATAAAGTTGTAGTTATTTCTGTGTGGATATCACCACATTTTTGGCAGAAGAGAAGCACTCGCCTTCCATGGAAATTGTAATAGCAATGAAACTCAAACTCTATTAAGCCCGACTAACTCTACAGCTCAGTCTGAAATTTGGAATTTAACCTACTGGAGATTTAAATAGAGTAATAGCTAAACACAAGGGCTGACATTAGGAACTCTCTGGTGGGGTACACAGATCATTCTAGAATATTTACTTGTCCCCTTTTTTGGCTTCTTCAAACAGACATCAGATTTATCCCTAGATAGATCATCTGGTCTCATTTGCTGACACCCTATAGTTCATTTCTAGAGACAGGGAAGATATGTTTATAATGACCTAAACACACAGACTATGTGCTAAGTACTAAATATGAATTGTCATTTAATTCTCACGACCAGGTAGATACATGACAACATCAGTTTCACAGATCACAGAAATGAGGCCCTGGGAAGGTACGTCACTGGCCTAACATCACCTAGTTTGTCAATAGTAGGGTTTGATTGGAATCCTGACCATCTAATTTCTCAGCAAGCACTCTCAAATACCACACTCAAACCTCAATGCAATTAAAATGAACTTTTAAAAAATTAGACCATCATATGCCTAGACAGAGCAAAGTATTGGGAAGAATTGAGCAAAGTGTTTCTCTTATCTGGGTCCTCCACACCCATGAGAAGAGCAGGGCGTGCACCAGCCTTGTGCGCAGTTTACCTGGAAATGTGCCATAAATGTAAAATACACACAAGATTTGATCACAGCATGAAAACAATATAAAACGTCTCATTAATCATTACGTATGGATTGCTTGTTGATATAATATTTAGGTTAGATAGCTATATTATTAAAATTAATTCCATCTGGTTCTTTAAATTACGTTTAACATTTACTGGAAAATGTAATATCACATATGTAATTCTTCCACTTGCATTATATTGATACTAGACAGTGCTGATCTAGACTATCAGTTATCAGGTTAATTTTACAATGAGTTACACTTTGGATTTTTATCAGACTAGAGCCACATACACATGTTCAGCTTGAACACCTCCTTGCTAGAGAACAATATAACCCATTCAGTTCAGTCTCAGGAATGCCAGGCTTATATTCTTCGATAGCTTCTTAACTCAAAGCTACTTAATAATAAAAGTTATTTTCTCCAAGATAATTATCGTTTTAAAAATGTTCTACCCTTCAATATAAGCCACAGGCTTGCATATTAAGTAGCTTTTCTCCAGGCTTCTGTGGCTCATGATGTCAGCGGTAGGTCAAGATTCCTTATCACCAAACAGAGCCCATGATGACACTTGTCTGGGCAGACAGAAATTTCCGCTGACGGCAGAGTAAGACTGAAGACCACAGAGGGTGATGCCTGTCTCTTAACCCTGAGAAAATCCCAATAGGTGGTTCTGTCTGGCTAAGGGGGGACTGTCCTCTATTAATCACACTGCCATATACTTTGAAGCTCTATTGCATGTTGGCCAGAAAGCTTTATTTAAATGCACTCAAGCTTCCTTATTTACCATTTTTAGGCTTTTACTATTTTACCCCATACTTCAAGCATGGTAGTAGTATAGTGGTTCATACTCTTAATTAAAAACAATTTTTAATTAGCTGATTATCATTTTTTCAGGCCTGTCAAGTTTCATATAGTGAGCTAAGTTTTACAAATATCTTATAGAAAATTGGGCTTACATAAAAAT